GAAGTCTTCTCAGAGTTCTCCATACAACAGTCAGAATTTTCTCCCCCACATGGCACTGAAGGGAGCATATTACTGGGATCTGCTAAGGGGGAGTCCAGTTATGTATTTCCCTATCAGTACTCAGCACAGAAAAATAAAAGATCCATTGCCGAAGAGAAATAACCCCTTTTCTTTTATGTTTATTTTTGTAGAGACAGAGTCTCGTTACGTTGCCTAGGCTGGTCTTGAACTCCTGGCATCAAGCAAACCTCCCACCTTGGCCTCCCAAGTGCTGGGATTAACAGCGTGAAACACCACACCCATCCTGCTCCTTTTCAATTGAGGAAAACAGAATAGCCTGTGCCTCCCTTCACACCTTGAATTCAACAGCGTGTGTCCTGTGTCGGCCACCTGGCAGGCAGGCTGGTCTGCAGGTCATGTCACCTCCTCACCACTTCACACACTAGTACCCAAATTCTGTGGTGGAGTAAAAAGACTTTCAGAAAAGTGGAGGAGACACCCAAGACACCAGTCCCCGAGAAGGAATCTCAAACATGGATAAGCATCCTGGCCATGCAGAAGGACCCCCTGGGCAGTTAAGCCAAGAGTTAGCAGCCAGACATGCAGTCCACAGCCTCCATGGCCCAGCAGGGAGCTATGACCTCACCATGCTCAAGAGAGACATCCAAAATGCCACCCTCACTTTCAAGCTGCCTTTAGTTGTCTTACTGCCAAGCACACATGGTTAAAAAGCAGGAACTTTATAAAATGTGGAAAGAAACCATGTGAGAAACCCAGTCAGCTCACGCTTTCAATTCAGTTGGATTCTCAAAGTTCATTTGTACAACATTTGCTTGGAACTTAAAATGCATTTCTGCAGCGAGTTTGCTAGAAGCCTACGCTATGAGGGACTGACATACCAAGCTGAAAGGCCAGGAATGCAAGCACAGCATATGTCTGATTCTTCGCAGGGGCAGCTCTGTCAGGCAAGGCAGGTCTTATCCCTTCCCAGGCCCCACCAGGTCTCAGGTTAAACCCCCTCTCAGAATAGCTTGGGAGTATCTTACCCTCACAAACGTGGTCTGGTTAAACTAAATAAAAATTGAGCATATTTTCAGTGATTTTAAAGGAAGAAACATATAAGGGTATTTTATCTGCAAATTTACTTGGTCACTTTCCGATTTTTTGTTTTCCTTTTAGACAAAAACTACTGTGCATTTTGTAAAACGCAAGGAAAGCACCACTTCAAGAGCAGTTAGCAAAACTTACAGCCTTAGGAGTTTGAATTACACAATGACATCTAGAGAACCATATAGAAAAAGATTTCAACCACCAGGAACTTAGCAATGCCCTAATCACACACAGCTGTTGGTCCCAGCAGTCAAAACACGGGAACTGGATCAGTCAGACACATAAATGACCCCAAGTAGTGACCAAATCATGGGGCTCCATGGCCACAACAAAAGGACCCAACAGGATTAGCACAGGTTGCAGTTCCGAATCTCCGCCATGCAAAACGACACATGCAGGTTACTTCCGAGGAACGCAACCTGTATCTATATCATGTCCACCAAGGACCTTGCTGGCTTTTGAGCCACTTCTACATCTCTGGCAAAATGCATCAGTCCTCTGAAAGGATCACAATCACATCCATCCCTATACTCACTGCAGAGAACAGAGGGCCAGCTCTGCCCACAGCCGGGGCCCTAGGATCCAGGAGGTGGCTCTCATGCAGCAGAGGGGACCTCCACTGGCTTCCCAGTCATGCTCCTTGATCACGTGGCTTTGCTCTCAGCCTCCACAGGCCCCAGGAAGCCCAGCTACTATCCTCCCTGCTGCCTCTAACCATGCCCACTCCACATGGATGAGGGTGTTTCTCTCCAGCAAAGCTCAGAGAACAGAGTCTCGTCTCACTGCACCTCCCCTTCCCTTGGCCCTGGAAGCAAGCACATCACCAGAAGAGGAAGTCCTGCCTATAATGCGCCATCACTCCTCTGGGAATCCTCACTCAAGGTTAGCAACTGGCAGTTTAAGGTCTTCTCTTTAATCCACCTAAGGATCAAAATGAAAAACTAGAAGGTTGGCAGAGGGAAAGGACACACATGCCTCCAGGCAGGAGGGATGCAACAGCCCACACACACCTGGGGCCATTTCTGATGGAGTTCCCTAATTCTGGAATCTCCTGGGATAGTTCAGACATAACTCAAGCACTGCCAGCACTGCCACTCCTGGCCCAAGTTCTCAGTCTTTGGTCCCAGGGACAGGGTTCATTTGGTGCCCTGCATATAAGGCTGACCTGACCCTAGAAGAAGTGTTACTCCCTCCCACCACCAATGTTGTGTCTCTCCCCTACCTCCTAGAACTCCTCCTCCCCAATCCAGGGCCAAAGAGAGAAATGGTGCCCCCATCAGTGACTAATTCTGCCCTCCAAAGTATCTGAGTACCTCTAAGGTAGGGTCTGTGACAAGCTACCTCCCAGAGACAAGGGAGGAAAGAAGCAAGAGCTAACTCCTTAGGATCCCAAAGGTACAATATTTGCTCCTGAATAATTATAAAGGTTAGGGAACTTAGTAGAAGGATTTCAGGCACTGTGCTAAAAATAATGACGGGGGTAAGTAGGTTTGAAGGGAGGAACCACTAGAGACACCACTGCTGTCTGCACAGGGCCGCCTACTAGAACAACTTCCTGGACACTTGCGTTTTATTTCCACATTTCCTCTGAATACAAAAGTTTCCTACTAGCTCCAAGTTTGTTTTATGTGTATGTTCTGCACAAAAGTCCATGCAGCAGTGGCAGAGGGACCCCAGCCCTGGGAAGAAGACGGCTATGTGGTAAAGTGTAGGGTCCAAGGGGCACCTGGAGCTGCCAAGTGAGCAGTGCTAAGAATCTGCTCCCTCTGAGCCAGACCCCAGAATTGTAACAGACAGAAAAATTGATCTGACTCCAGTACTTTGAATTTTCCTTACCCAACTGGAGGTGAGATTATAACCGTTTGTAATTGGAATCCTAGAAACCCAGAGCTTAGAGGAATCCTGCAAGCCAGACAAGGCTGCCTGAACAGTCTGGGGCCTCCAGATCCTGCCTTGGGAACTTCATGGGGAGAGCAGGAAGAGGACTGCAGGGGCACTGGGACACAGCACCCAGCAACTCAAGCACCTCCAGTGACTGCTCCCACGCTGCAAGGTAGGAGTGCCCGGCCCAGCAGGAATCCTTTTTTCTCATGGGAAGTGTCCCTGAGGCCTAGGTTAAACTGTCTGGACCTCCTCACCAGCCCCTGGGGCATGGCTGGAGCACTGTCTCCCCACCATGGCCCTGCCAGATGCAAGAACCCACAACAGAGAAACGGTTCATTTCAGAGTCAGTGAGAACATTGGGGCACCCTGGCCCATTATCGGTACCAGAAAGATGGTATAACATTCAATTACGGAGGGCCAAGAAGGAGGGCTCATTCTGCAATTTGCAGATACTAAGGCTGGCTGCCCACCACTCCACCTTCTTGCGGCACCTGCCTCTTACAACTCAGCAATGGGGTGGGGAGCAGAGCAAATGGGGAAGTGAAACTCCAGATGGCCTGTCTGGTGAATGCTTTGGGAAGGTGTGAGAATGAAATGACCTGTTGAGAGAAAGCTTTTAAAATAATTATAGCTTTCCATACTCCAGGCTCTCTCCACTAGTTTCTGAACTGTGATCCCCCGATCCTATCACCATGAGTATAAAGAACTGAGGCCAGTTTTCACAAACGACCTTCACTGCTTCACACACTACATATCAAGCACGTGCTATGTGCAAAACGCCATGCTGGAGATGAGAGGATGAAAGAGCCAGTCAGGATCCCAGCCCTCTGGAGCCCACCATTCACAGAGGCAAACAGAGGAAGCCACTATAGCATAACACAGTAACACGCACACTGAGACAGACCCAAAGTCTCTCTCGGGGGCCCTATGCACCCCACAACACCCACACACTGGGCCAGCTGGGGGTGCTGCAAAACCTCCGCAAAGGGTGAGTGCTGCCCCCATCCCCAGGAGCTAATGGAGAGGCCCAGCCCTAAACTCAGCCTCAGAGATGCACCCAGAACAGCTGAAGGTGAGGGTTTGTCCTTTCAACTGAAAAAAGACAGTGCACAGGACCTAAAAGTAACATACAACCAGGCGCTGACAGCGTCTCTCTCTGACCAACTTTAGTCGGACCGCTGTTAAGGCTCTTCTAAAATGGACCTCCACCTTTGGTCTTCCATATCCTTCTTTGCATCGCCTGACTTTGGCAAGAGCCCTGCTAAGTCAGTTTAGCTGAATTGCCCCCTCCTCAACATCTGATCACTGTTGATATGTGATGTGTCCCTCGCCTCCACTGTCCCCCAAAACCCCCCAGGTGATGTCTGATTCTCCTGGCTTGCCCTCAGCAAGAATCCTCACTGGGTCAATGAAGCTAGAATCCCGCTGACCCCTGAGGTTTCCTCCAGTAATTTCCATACAATGACCCTCGCACTGCTCCTTGGCTCGGAATTCCCAGTGGCCCATGCTGCACTCGGCACTGAGCCTGGTTTTATTCTGGGATCTCTCCTCCCCTGTTGCAATAGTTTTCCTGAGTAAAATCCATTTTCACCACCTTAACTACTACCCAGCTCTGGTTTTTTTCTCTAACAATGCAACAACACATAGCTTTTCCTCAGGAAGCCAGTACTATTACCCATCACTTTCTGGTAAAAACTTTTTAACTGTTAGGAGCCTGGGTAGTGGGACCACAGGGAGAAGACTGAGACAGTCAACTGTCTAAGTCACCTTTAAGGGAGCACACTACACAGCAAAGTGAGGAGGATAAAATAGAACTATTACTTTATTAAAGCAAACAAGGCTGCAACATAATACTTCTAGTTTTCTTCTTCAACTCCCAATTTTTAATTCCTATTGGGGCTGGGAGGGAAGGAAGAACACGTGGAGAATGAATGTGAAGTTTCCAAAGAGAAGCCCTCAGTGAGTTTTACAATACTCGCATTTAATTTTCCAAGGCACAGACTCACAGTGTTCAGAAGGTGAGGGCCCGTGATGAAACATTTTCTCCTCTGCTTTCAGCCACTGGGGTTACCTAAACAGGAGAATATGGTGTGGTCACCAAGGCCCTTCAAAACAGAGGCTAAGTAAGGAATGAAAAACATGCCCTAAAAACAAAACAAACAAAAATCTTGAACTAAAAGGCACAAGAGGTCAGAGATACTTTAAATATTAACAAGTGTCTATGCGACAGCATACCAAAAGACCGGTCTGGCTGAAAACCAACTCAGTGTGAAAGCCATGAAGTGCCACCCTGCCCCCCTGACCGGTCCAAACAATGCCCTGAAGCCGTGTGACCCATACACTTCAACTTCATATGGGATCTTAAGCAAATCAACCTAACTCCCCTTATCCCCATCATGAGTCTTTTAAACAAATGTGAGTTACTCAAGTCTGCAATCAAATGAACGCTTTTATTAAACAATTTAAATCACAATTACTAGGCTTTTCACAGTGTGAAATTCTTTTAAAGAAAAATGCACATGTTAATTGAATCAAGGCAGTTTGGGCAGTTCTTGTATTTCAGCATTTTCACTATTAACCTATGCTTATAAGTTATCTCCACCAGGCTTCTCAAAGTGCAGGCAATTAACTAAAGCTTTAAATTAGGAGTGGAGAAATCAGAAAACAGCCAGATGGTCTCTATGAGGTAGACTTGGGGATTACCACAGCCATAAGGCCATTTCTAGCCACAGCTCCACACCTCTTGGAGAAGGTTGTTTCCCAGCAGGAAACAGGAGGGGAAACATGAGTTGCACAAAGCACTGGAGAGTGAACTGAACCAAACACTGGCAAAGAAAGGCTCAACTCACTCCTGCTGTCCAGTCACATCCCTGTCTCTGGACAAACTGCATTCTTTTTTGCTGTTATTTCATTTTCTTTTTTCTTTTATACAGATTAAAAGCCTAGATTTGTAAACCTTTTTGTTTTTCTTAGACAGGGTCTCGCTATGTTGCCAGGCTGGTCTCAAACTCCTGGCTCCAAGCAATCCTCTGGAGTAACTAGAACTACAGGTGCGTGCCACCGTGCCCACACACTGCTTTCTTTAACAGTCCACACACTGCCATCTGCCCTTTCCCTCCTGATGACACTCATCCAATGATGCCTTTGCCATGCACTAAAAGGCTAGAGAAAATGGCCTGGAAACCTACTGAATGCAAACAAGCTCTAAAGCCACAGCTCACCTAGTGAGCTGCCTCTTCACAGAGAATGGCTGGAAGCCAAGGAAGGGAAAAGATGTAAGAAAAACACAAGGAAGGCAAAACGAGCTGCACGAGGCCTTCAGGTCAACACGAGCCTTTACACAAAGTCTCCAGGAGCAACCTGTGAGTAAGGCAGGTGTCCCTACAACAGGGTGGAAGGGAAAGTGGAAGGTGAATTTAAAAAGGAAACGCAGGGGTACTAAATGCCACCAATTTGCACTGGTTCACAAACATGCCTTCCCAAATAGTAACCAGGCCACAATTTCTGAGTCAATAAAAGACACAGGACACCACTCAGGACATCACTCAGGACATCACTCAGGACACCACTCAGGACAATGACAACAAAAAGCCCACGGCAGCAAGGTTTGAGAAAACACTGCTATTTGATTGCCTCATCTTTCCTCCACAAGTCAATTCAATTCATCATATACTTATAGGAGCATCTCTTTACTAGATCTGTGTAAAAGAAAAAATTACTCTGGCGCTTATTAAAATGGTGAGGAAGACTTTCCCAGGACTACTGTGATAGATGCTAAGACTATCCTAATAGGAGAAGGAGATGGAGCTCAACTCAGAAAACACAAGGCAACTGGGGACTCAGCACCAATGCACAGAGTGATCGGGGTCAGTGGATGGAAAATAACTCACAAGAGACAGCAAGGGGAGGGGGATTCTTGCTGAAGGCAGGCCAGGGAAGGAGAGCTCAAGAGTGGGAGGTTGTAGTTAAACTGACTTAGCAAAGCTATGCAGGCTGAAGACAGGACCCAAGAAAAAGGCCTGGTCAAAAAGAGGACTCGAAGGAGCCTGAGTATCATCTGGTCAAGGAGATGGTCGTTGTCATCTAGGCTAGGCTCTGTAATGGCCCCAACTAAAGTCCTCCCGGCCGCTCCTTCTCAAACCTTCCCACTGGTCCTGTCACCTGGTCATGTTACTTCTCCACTCCCAACTCTGCTGTGACAGAGTTGCCGTGCAGCTCTGAGGGCTGGCCTGGCATTGGAGGCCCAGCTCCCCAGCCGACCCTCTCCTCTGCTTTCAGCCAGTGGGGTCACCTAACCACATCTCACACTTCACTTCCCCACCACTAGAATGTTCTCAGTGGCCATCTGTCAAAATCCTTACTCCCTTCAAGATCTGGTTCTAATTCCAATGCCTCCGAAGCTTTCTCAGATACCCCAGCAGGACTGGACCTCCTCATCCTCAATGAGTCCACGGGACATTCTCTTTGCACCAGTAACTAGATTATTTTTTTATTAGCATTTAGTCCTATTTGAACTATGAGCTCCTGAAGGACAGGAAACCTGGTCTGGGTCCCTCTACATCCTTCACAACACCCAGAACAGTGCCTTCCTCTGGTCTTTATGTTCTCAACTTCATGGAGGACATTCTTTCCTCCTTTGCCATAAAAATCAAAATCTCTTTCAAATGAGGTAATACAACACCACAGACTTAAAACTAATAGTTTTTAATCTATTAAGTATGAAATGGATGATTCCCACTATATTTACGCAGCAGGAAAAAAATATAAAAAGAGTTCCTATCTTGAAAGATCTTGTAGTTACATATCTTCTAAATTTTCTACAATAAACATATATTTCTTTTACAAACATGTGCTCCTTTTATAATGACATAAAATGTCATTTTGAAAACATTTTAATGGAACAAATAATAAGTGTTATAGGAATTTAGAGAAGGCTGTGGTTCCTGTGACTAGGAACACACAATGAGACAGTCATGGGAGAAGTGAGGCCAGCACTAGTCAGGCCATGAAGGCTGGCGGATAAAAACAGAAGGAAGAGGGAACAAGAGGAGGACTGGTAGCAGGGGTGGAAGTAGAAGGGGGACAACAGGAAGACGGAGGAGGGGGCAGAGAGAAGAATCACAAAGCGACAGTTATGGCTACCATTGACTGAGAACCTGCCTGATCCCAGGCTCCTCCCAAGCACGAGCTCATCTATCTTTGCTGCCATCCAGTAAGGCAAGTACTATCATTCCCATGTTAAAGATGAGAAAACTAAAAACTAGGGTAATGTTAAATATGGTGAACCCCAAGTTTCTCTTCAAAGAATCAGTATGTCAGTAGGTTCAGCTCTCTTACTCTTTGATTCTCCATTTTAAAGTTTAACTTCCTGGTTCTCATTGCCCACTTGCTTCTAGTTTCAGTAAACAACTTTCCCACCAGTCCTAATCAGTAGTTCACATCTGTTCCCCTGGTCATCTGCTCCGTCCTAATTCCGGTCATCCACTTTGACCTGAGTCACCCTTGGTCACCTGCTCTGACGTAAGTCACCTTTAGTTACCTGTTTCTAACTGTTCTTCCCACCAAACTACTCACCCTGCCACTGTGGCTCATACCCCTGATCTCTTTAAAATAGCCAATCAGAATTAGCTTAGACTGTGCGGTCCAACCCTAGCCAATAGGGGAACAACACAGTAGCAGGGGCTACCTGCAACAGGAATAAGAATCCCTGCCCCTCCCCTGTTCAGGTGTGCTCTCGCCATTGTTCCATCTGCAACGAGCACCCTTTCTGCAGAAAGTAAAAATTGCCTTGCTGAGAGAATTAAATTTATGTTCGAGCGCTATTTCTTTGTGGCACTGGGGAACAAGCATTTCTAACAGTAACTTGCTCAAAGTCACACACCTCATCCATCTAGTAAGTGATGAAATCTGTGCTCTTTCTACTTTAAGACTATTTCAACTGAATTCTGTGTTCCCAGAGGGATTCCTGTATACTTGGCCTCAGGCCCCAGTTCAGCAGGGCCCTGGGTTCCCACTCATCTTCAACCTCAGCAGTTCCACTTTAATTCATGTTATGTATCTTATTTACAAGTCATTAAAAATAATAATAATAATACAGGAGTTCCATGACTCCCAAAACTAAACAACAGTTTGAAAACCACCGCCCTATGCCATATTGCCAACTACAAAGGCATCTTTGGCGGCGGGTGTGCCGAGCTGGGACTGAGGGAGGAAGAGGCCTGCCCTGCACATGGGCTGGGAAGCAGAGGGAAATAAGACTGCAACTCTAAGGCCCAGAAAGTTCCGAGACACTGAAGTAAAGGAGCGCTTTTATCAGGTGACAACTGTCAGTCATTGGTTCACACCAAAACCAAATCTGTAAGCACATCCTCAAAGCAGCCAGTATTTAAATAAAAAGTTAAGAAAATCTGTTGTTTTTTTAGGGTTAGCTTTGATACACAAAATTTCAAATACCAAAATAAACACAACAGATAAACAACTCTATTTTAAAACCACCTGAATGTGTGCCAATCTTGCAGAAGAACATGGGTTTCCTCAGTATCCTGATCCTGGGGGGGAAATACCGTCTGCTGGCACACCAGGCAGCCTGGGCAACTATTTTGGTGTGTTTTGCCATCCTAGGTTTGCTTCCTACTAATCAATCATTGCAAGGCATTCAGACAAGGTCAAAATTAATTGACAAGAATTTATCTATACTCAGCCACAAGTGCATGGTTTTCAAATTATGCTACCGTGCTGATTTAATTTGTATGCTATATTTTGTACAAACATAATCTGATAGTTCTCACATTTTGAGAGTATAATCCTTAAAATCAAGCCAATGAATGCTTGGTAGGAGATCTTCCTCATTTTCCATTAAGTAAACACTAAGCTGATTTATGACTAAGTGATAGTCTGTTTAGCAGAGAGCAGTCTTCAGATACACAGGCAATAATTCACTTTGTTCATTTTGTTCTATGCTCATGACCAGTATCATTATGAGAGAAGGCAACAACAACACGTTCTTATTGCATACCCAAGTTTTCTTCCAAGCATGAAGATTTGAGCTTGGCATTTCAGTTTTATAGAAGT